GCTATGGTGGGCCATTAAATTGCTAGCTGGGCAGCATCTCATTAAAAATGAGAGTCCTACTAAGGTTTATTTTTTCCCTAATTGAATCTGTAATTCAGATAGATCTGTACCAATGTTTGGCAAAAGAGGACCAGGAATCTCCTGTGATTTCAGGGGTTATTTGCATTCTGCTTTCTGCAGTGATTAGGCATATCATATTTGGTGCTCTGTCTTCAGCGGTAATGTTCATGCCTGATCTGAATAGGAATCGCAAGCATTCTTGCACATCTTATGCCAGCTTTCCATTCTTATGTGTCTGGCATACAATGTCTTTTGTGCAGCATCCCATGATACGCAGGAAATTCACTTCTCTCGTTTCCCTGGTTATTTTTTAAAGGAACGTGCCAGAGCTCTGGCCATTAGCCATCCATACAAATTACTCTCATAAATGCTCGCTATATTCTGTCATGTATGTTTCCCCTCAGTTTATCAAGCTGCATTTCAGAAATGAGTAGTGCTAGTCAGTGACTTTGGGCTCGTCCTCCTGCCTTTCTGCAGGCCTTGTAGAGCGTAACTGCCCAAATAACTGCCTCCTTATTTAATGAAGCAGAGGTAATGCCAGAAGGCAGCAACTTTCATTGGAAACTGAACTTCATAACTACCTAAGTGGAGGAGCTGTTGAAGGGATTCCTTTGAGAAAAGTTGGCACTGCTTTCCCCTTGGAATTAGTCTCCTGCATCCATAGTGACACTGGACTTACTGACACAAAGAGATGCAGTGTTTGTATCCTGTCTCCTTGGCACCAGCCACCATGAATCTTAAGTAGTCGTCAGACATACGTTATGAAGCATCTTCTACTTTTCACCAGTGGTTCAATCCTACCAGCTTCTACCACAGATTCACTGCTAGCTTTTTTTTTTTTTGAAACCTATTCTCTCTAGCATTGGCAAAATCCAGACCTTGTGTCTTATACAGAACTAGATATTCCTCCCTTTTGCAGCTCTGAAAAGGATTTTACTATCTGAATTAGATTCTTATCATCACACATATGTAACCAAAAATACTAGGTCCACATTCATTGGGACTCTTTTTACACATCAGTGAGACCCAAAAGGACATCACATGCTTCCGAGCTTAAACTCCTTCCTTCCAGCTCAGGGTGCGCCAGGCATTGTCAGAGGAGAGGTGATTTATAGAGTCAGGGAGAGAATTCACCATCATTCTTACAGCTGGATCAGCTCTTGAGCTAGAGTGGACTTCAGACCTCCTACCTCCTGTCATGAAAATAAACTTCATGTACAAGTTCTTCAAGCATTTAGCTGCAGCTGTCTTTTATGGCACTACTATGGACAGTGCCTTTATAAATGGAACATTTATTGTAGATTGTATCATTTTTACATGGAACGATTGCGAATCAAAGCATTTAGAGTCTAGTTAAAGATCTAAAATTTTTGAGTACTCTCTGGAATATGTAAATCTAAGATGGGGGAAACTTACATCGAAGGAAAAATGCACAACTGCACGATTTAGAAAGGGTTTCCATATTCCACTTGCTGGTTTGATTTCCCAGCAGATAAGGCTGCACACTGATGTATGAATCAGCCCATCTGGCTCTAGTATTTTTTAAGCTTGCTGCCCTGACTAAACATACTGGCTTCCAAGAACGTTCATGATTAGTAACACATTGAAGTTTAAGCTCCTTTGGTACTATGATTTTTCTGTATCAAATTCAAACCACTTTTCTGATGTACTTTTCGTTGTTCTTTAGATATTGAAATAACAACAAAATGCCAGGTGGTACCTATATATATAGCTGGACTAAATAAAGATGGACGAGATCAGGTATCTCACAATAGTAGTCTGAGAACATGACCTAAAAATAGATGAGGCTATGTCTGCACAGTAGACTTGCAGCATGACTTAGTAATACCTGTATCTTTGAACTCGCTATTTTAGATCCTGGAAGCAGCCTGGTTAGGACAGTGCAGAACTCACTGCACTGACGAACTCACTTAAGAAGCAGGAAAAATGCGCCTGCAATGAGCTCAGTGCTAACTTTCCTCAATTCCTTCCAGTAACTGAGCTAGTCCAGGTAACACACTGCACTCTATAGTGTAGATATTCTTGAAGACGCAGCCTTGCAAGATGCTGAGTATGTACACCACCTGTTGACCTGATACACATCGTGTATGTAAACACAGAAGCATATGTATAATACAATGCATTTGCACTGAATTACAACCAAAATCTTCAACCTGGGCAGTTGGAATGCTCTGGTGGAATGATTTTCCACTGCAGAATGCAAATACAATAAACCATTTGGTGAATAGGTTTTGGGTTAGAATCATAGAATCATAGAATTGTTTAGGTTGGAAAAGACCTTTAAGATCATCAAGTCCAACCGTTAACCTAGCACTGCCAAGTCCACCCCTAAACCATGTCCCTAAGCACCACATCTACGCGGCTTTTAAATACCTCCAGGGATGGCGACTCCACCACTTCCCTGGGCAGCCTGTTCCAATGCTTGACAACCCTTTCGGTGAAGAAATTTTTCCTAATATTCAATCTAAACCTCCCCTGGCGCAACTTGAGGCCATTTCCTCTCGTCCTATCGCTTGTTACTTGGGAG